GGGCGGAAGTTGTTGACCATCATCTTTTCGGTCTCCGTGTCGGGAAAGCGTTGAGACCGGAACGATTGTAACTGAAACACAACACAGAAAGTTAGAATTTCATTTTTGTAAGTGGGTGGTGGACGGTCTACGTAAATTGTAAGATGTACTGTTCTCTATGAAGTTCTTCAGGATCCATTGAGATGTAATCGAAGAGCTTTCATTTGCGTCCCGAAATGTCAAATGCAATTCGGGATGCCTGCACATCAGTTCGGTTGACAAGTCAGCAAGTAAACACATCCACAAACAAAAACACAATAAATCAACAAACTAGGATGTGGTTCGTGATGTCTCGAAAATATTTTATTTTATTGTTCCAAAGGTGTAAATAACTTTCATTCTACTTCCTCCCATTGAATGTATCATAATACAATTTCATGAAGTTAGAAACGGTTCATATAACGCAGAATGAAGAAAAGGAAGCATTCATGGGGGGATTCGAACACACCACCTTCTACGACAGATTCAATCTAAACCGGTGTATAGTCAAAGTCAACATCTGTAAACTGATTCTGGTGAATAGCTTGCGACAACAATTCGGAATAAACTTTGTTGCATTGGTGACGCTATGGATAGAGCGACGCGGGTTGTAACTATGTACTCACACAAGTCATCTGCCCAATGCGAGTCACAGATTTCAAGAGTCATATGAAGCTTGACAGCTCCGCAAGATGTAGATCCAGTGGTAGGGGACAGATGTTGAATCACACAAAAGCAATGAATCGGAGAAAAACAATTTTTGCATTTGATTGACAGCTAAGTCTTAGTAGCAGTGTGTAAAAGGTGGTTTTAAATTTGATTTATCGAAATGCTCCGGTGTTCGCCTTCACACAATCAGGAAATCAATGAGCCAATCATGCAACTGAAAATCACTGAACTTGAAACATGTTCTCGTTAAATCTCTTCAGCGGTAGTACATTTACCTCACGTACTCCGCAAATGCTCCTGTGAGGTTCGTACGAACTCAAACCATAACCGCCATCGAAGAAATCCTTATGGGAGTAGACACATCATCCAGCTATGCGGTATATATATTACAGTTCACACTTGTATGAGAACAGACTGTGTGCCAGGCCAATCATGGCCTGGGCAACCTGGCAGTATTCAGCCCACAAGCCAATCATGGAACCAGCCATGCGGTGAGGTTGGATAAACTGGATCACTCCTAATGAATTCGACATGTGAATAGACTTGGATTGGTTATTGTGGCCAGCTTTTTGAGGATATTGAAACAACCTCTTCCCGATGTCAACTTAAATAAAGAACACAGTGTTGCCCAATTTATTTAAATGGACGAAGAGAGCACCAACAGATGATCCACGGTAACTGTTACCTGTTACTGTTCATTGTATTTTTTGACCGTAGTATGTATTCAGAGATAAAACGATTTCTTTTGGAAATAAATTGTGCAGTACTTCGCTGCTGTGTTCGTTATTCAAATTGTAGCCAGAGCCGGTGTGTGGTCTGGTTGGCACTCTAGTAACACGCTCACTTCCATGCGGTGGATTTTGAGTTTGGCTGCGCGTTGGATCTGCAATATATATAAATGCTAGTTGGGTTGCTTATAGTGTCACCGAGGTCTAAGCATGGACCCATCAAATGAAAAGTCAAACAACGTTGTTTAGTCAACCTCAACAAAGAACCAATGAGAGAAAAGGCCTATGTTACTGAAACCCGAATGGAATGAGACATGTCAAGTGTAACTCGTCATATGTTTTGGCTATCTTGAAAGTATTCCGGTATTCAGTCATAGTATTCAAATGCTCTAAGATATTATCATTTGTTTACCACCTTTTGATTGCCTACGAGTCAAAGGTGACATCAAGAGGAGCCGATGAAAACACTAGGTGAGAATGATTAAGACCTATATGTTATTACCAAACCACCGTTTCGCTTAAGACCAAGTACTTCATTTTATAGTTAGTTAAAGACTGATCGATTGTGTGCATAATTCCTATCAGATGTTTATCAATAGATGATCTTGGATTTCGTTGGTGTTTTCTTTCTTTGTTGTATCGATCGTTTCAGTCAAATGTTCTGATTTTTGCTGTCATGGTGTTTGGTTTTTGTGTAATTGTAGCAGAATACGGTGATCACAGATGTCCATGCTAGCCACAGAGGTGCTGAATAGCGAACGCAACTGTGTGGCTCATGGCTCAGATGAGCGTGTGATGCATAGCATTGAACACGTGCTCCCATTGGACTGATCATCTGATATAGGCAACTTTCGTTGGTGTTGGCTCGATCGGGTAACTCTTAGGGTTTTGTCACCTTCAAAAGTCCTTGAAATTTTCTGGGTGGCCATCAATTGGTGGGAGGAAAGCTTTCTTCTTCTTGGGGAACATCCGAAAGATATATATATATATGTACCATTCAAGAAATTCATGTATTGATCACTCCATGTTGCCCCCTCTAAATAAATTGCGCTTATCTGATACAGTAGTAAAGAGACTCTATGGGAATGAACCAGACCATCTTTCAGTGTGGCGACAATTGGTATACGACGGGTTTCAATTAGCCCCGTATTTTGGTTTGAATACAAAATGCAAAATAGCCGGCCTTCAAAAAACGATTGATTGTTGTTCTTCACCGGATTCTGGCCGCGTCACTGTTGCTCAAACTATAACCACGATGAAAGTAATCACTGTTCTCAGTGTGTGTAACGAGCACAAAACCCTGAATCCGGTTTGCAGATCACCTTTTTTGAAAAAAAAACCATCACAAGGACGCCTATCGTCCGACATTTAAAATAGTTCTCAACGCACGGTACAAACGAGTGCTTGAGAATGGCTCTGCTTCTATACTGGTCGAAATCAATGCACGAGGTGGTAAGTAATCCGGATCAAACTCGCATTCGGATCCCGTCTCATTTNATTTCTGTGTATCACTGAATGAGGAGCGTGTAAACAATGAGAACAAACAATAGCTGTTATTTCGGTCCGTCTCTGATTTAGGAAGAACACTTATCACCCAAACAGGCGGGGCCGGGCCGGGCCGGGATAACTGCAATTATGTCAAAACGATTTACAGGTTCAAAAGGACGGCGGTGATGGTCATCAAAATGACGAGTTCAAACCGCGCCACCGCGTCTTATTTTCCTGCGTTTCTGCATTTCTTCCCCAAATAGGCTTTGTATGGCCGCGGAGAATTAGTTGTATGCTGAATGAACACTGGAGGAATTAAAACTATACTTATTTATTTGTCTATTTCTGGACTACGGATCCGTAAACCGCCTGGTCTGTGAACACACTAGCGAAGTCGTTTGAACTCTCATTGCAATAATTCGGGAGGGGGCGGGGCGAGAGGGGGGGAGAAAGCACAAAAGCACTCAGTTAGTAATGTAATGTAATGTAATGAGGCATAGAATGAATGGACCTAGTTTGT